AAAGCACAACTTAGAGCAAGAATAATTTTTTTTCAAAAGTCATTGTTGAAGTGTTATTTATTTGTGATTAAGAGCTCTACAGATGAACTTAGCAGCAACATATAATTTACCCTTGCTTACGACATTTTCTTATTCAAGCGTTAACAAATTTGTAAAAACTATGATATAAAGTATGAATAGTACGACGCTTGTCACAATAAAAGTTTTACAACATTCAAATAAACGATTTCTTGAAAAACGTTCAAGTCACAGGCATCTAAAACGTTTAATTAAGAAACCGTTGGTACTAGAAAAAAGTACCTAGATGCCGTGCTTCAATGAAAGCTCAATTTTACGAGCCCTGGAAAGTTTCATAGATATGTATGCATGAAGCATTTTGTAAATTCTCTTTCATTTAGATTTTCTTTAAGGTAAAAAGGACACCCCACTTTTTAATGAATGGGTCAAGTCAACAAGCTGAAATTCGAACATTCTGAATTGATACATGAATACGGAATTTTAGCGTAACCTGAAAATTTCAAGTTGTCGGTAGGGTGCACTTTATAACCCTGGAACATAAAATCATTGTCTTCCAAAATGCAGACTGGCAGGATGTCAAAGTTCGTCGTTTTTGTACATTGCCATTATATCAACAACTAATCAATAAATTGTTAAGCTTAATAAAATCCACTGTATGAATCAGAATATTTTTACTCCTTTTTTGTAATGTAGCCGCAGGCCTAAGGTTTTGTTTTACGTAGTTGTGAGTCAGATAGTTGATGACTCCCATCATCCACTCCTGAATGAACCGATTTACGGCGTCTATCATGACTATTGCCAGCAAGGCTATTTCTTCCTGAATGTTGGTCTTCAAATCTTGTAGGATCCTTGGTCGGTCCACATAAACACGGGGTTTCAAAAAATCTCACAGAAAAAAATCACAAGGAGCCAAATCGGGAGAGCTAGCGAGCCACTCCAAACGATACATCAATTTTGTCGTACCGAATTTCAGTTTGCCAGCTTGACGCATTCCTAAAATAAATTGGGGAGAACCAAGACCAAAATGATTGTATACTTACTTGCGGCTTCAGGATATAGAAGAAACATACCTGAAACAGAAACACAATCATCATTAAACATGTAACCTTACATAAAAGTTATAATTTCAGTAAATTTATGATTAGGTAAGAAAAACATAAAAATAGTGCATTTCAGCACCGAGGTATATACAGGGTGGCCAAACACGTGACGTCATAAAAAAAAAATTAGATTCCCCACATCGAGAGGAACCCAAATCACCCCCATATATATGGTCCGATTTTGTTTAGTTTAGGAGTTATGATTTTTTTTCGGATTTTTCGAGAATTTTTGAGTTCTGTGCTTATTTTTACCATAACTTCGTTAATAATTGTGATAAATGCCTGCTTTTTTCACGATTATGTAGCTAAGACCTAAGGCTTAACTATCATATAATCATTCAAGTCATGTAACTAATACTACTTTTTAATTTTTTTCAAAATCTTCGAACATAACAAAAAAGTAAAAAAGTGCAACAACTTTGAACGTTTATAAAAAATTGAAAAAACATGTTCTTACTATTCGTAGGTATCTTAAAAACTTCCTTACGGTATCAGCTATTTACCTTAAAAATTTCATCAACCTAGCTTTACTACATGCTACCGTAATTGTGGCTCAAATAGAACCGAACCCAAAATTGGATAACCCTCTGCTCAATAGAAATTGTTAGTTTCGGAAAAGAAATTTGCAAAAACCACAAAAACACGTTTGATTTTTACTGAACAGCAGATTATTATTTATTTATGTTATTTACAAGAGGTTTTCAAAATGTCTGCCTCTAACAGAAATGCACAGTGTACACCTACGTATGAAATTTTGTTTTAAATCTCTAAATGCTTGTGTGTTGTTTTTCAACACATGTGTCGCTTCTTGAATTTTGTTCCTCAATGAATTTTCATTTGCACATTCTTGGGCGAATGTTATGTCTTTAAAATATCCCCAAACAAAAAAGTCAATGGGGTTGAGGTCAGAGGAGCGTGGAGGCCATCGTATCGGTCCGTTTCGTCCGATCCATCTGTCTGGGAACCTTTCGTTTAAGTAGTTTCGCACGATCGTTGCGTTGTGGCATGGTGCACCATCATTCTGGAACACCATGTTCCGTCCTGCCATGAAAGTGTTATGTGTGTTAATAAAAACACGGTGGTCTGGGTAATGCTCAGGTTGTTATCCGCCTCGGCGTATAAGTTGTTCCCGGTACAGCTGAGCTTCACATTCCACTCAAAATCTAATAGTTCTCTTCTCACGATTTATTAATAATTGTTAATTTAAAATTCCCATTAATTAAAATATAGTTTATTCAACTGCCTCTGGTCGGTTTAACAATTTCTTACATAACATTCTGAAAATCACATCATCTGAAGTGATTTGGCAACGTTTGGCAAACGCCCACAATTCGTTCCATCTTTCAACACAGACATTGACAACCTTCGGCCTTCTGTCAAAGGTTCATCTCACTAATTATTCCATGACCACCATTTTGTGCAATCATCAAGTGGCTTCACGACGTAATGCTCTAATGTTTTTTAAATAATTTTTAATCTGTTTTTAACTTGTCTTGTCATATTTTATATAATTTTGACCATTGTACCATGTATCCAGCTCTCACCATGTTACTGGACGATTCCCTCATCCTATACGTAAACAACAATTAGCAAGATCGTCACATACTACTGTAAGTTGAGTCAATTTAAATTCATTTTACACTTTTGTTGCTACTGTTATCATTGTAATTGCAGCTCCTGATGATGATGGCAAAGTCCATTGAAAGCTAGAGAGAATTAAAAAAAGTATAAAGAGTCCTCTTTGCTTAAATTTTGTCGAAGTACCCAACAAAAGGCGGAAGCTTTAATTTTTCACCTATATATATATATATATATATATATATATATATTTATAAAGGATATCCAGTGGGAAACATTTCAAATTTGAATCACGCGGCAATCGTATACGCGAGGAGGTGGGGAAATGTTTTGATCGACGCGTTCGGCGTGCGGGTTAAATAGTCACAATGGAACGTTGGAACTCAGCGCAACGTGTTGCGGCGTTCTTTACGGAAACATTCCGCTACTCTGGAAACCCTCAGGTCAACACTGCATGGAATAATGAAGAAAAAAATGGGTTTTCATCCTTATCAAGTCCAATCAGTCCATGCTTTAAAGAACAGTGATTACGTATCACGGAAGTCTTGTGCTGAACGGATGTTGAATCCTTTTCCTACGCAGCGCAGACTCGAGAACGTTGTTTTCAGTAACGAGGCCCATTTTCACGTTTTTGTGAACAAGCAAAATTGCAAATATTGGGCACCAACGAAACTAAAAGAGAAACATCAACAACAGCTGCATAGGCTAAAGGTGACTGTGTATTTGTTTGAAGATGAAAACGGTCCAGATTGACAGTCAATTCCGAGCGATACAAGGACACAATTGACACTTTTTTTGCTCCTATTGTGAGAACAGATATATATATATATATATATATATATATATATACAGGGTGTCCGCAAAGTTGGGGTTTTCCTTTACACGACATGTAGATCTTGAAAACATAAGCAATTTTTCTTAGTACCATATACACCAATGTCTTAAGGGAACCGAGATAAAGGGCTCTGCAACATCAAAAACATCTGAATACCGTCCTGTAGCCGCGACTCGCGACATCCCCGAGTGGTACTAGGACACTAGCTCAACCCGATGATAGAACTGGGTCGGGGTCAGTGTGTCAGGTCAGTATGCAACTTTCAACCGACGGTTACGATCACGCGTGTAGAGATAATCGCGTAGACGAGAATCCCTCAACAAGCACTAGAGACGTGGCTAGAGAAGTGCAAGTATCAAAAACTAAAGTATGGCAAACGCTGCGTGAAGAGGGGCTGTATCTGTTTCACGTCCAACGTGTACAAGCCCTTCAACCTGACGATTTTCCAGCAAGAGTGCGGTTTTGTGAGTGGTTGTTGCATCAACATGACAATAATCCGGACTTTTTGAAGTGAATATTGGTGACTGACGAATCTACGTTCACGCGTAATTGGGAGAATAACTTTCGCAACACTCATGTTTGGTCATTACGCAACATTGTGCCTTCCTTGTTTGCCTGCGTCTGCTCGGTAGCGCATTAGCTGATTTCATTTTGTGTTGGAGCGGACTGCCCAAAAAATCTAAGCAAAGCTTTGTCCAGAGCGTAAAGAAAACAGCTGGTGGAATTTGTCTAAAGAAAACTGGAAACAATTTTTGACGTAGTTGCGCCTGACTACATGCAAATTTCTCTAAGGCGGTTCCTTTTTGTGCAATTTTTTATAAAAGAAACGAATCAGAATATTTTCCCCACCCGATGCGAAAACACTTCCTGGACTTGTATGTTATGTATCTGGAGCTGTTTCCTTCCACACTGTATTATGTACATTCGATTGATTCGGAAGTTTATCCATTCTCTGGTTTCCTCGTACGATTTCCGCCGGCGACATGGAGATTTAGTTTTCCGGTTTTCCAGCAGAAAATCCGTTCTTCCGAACGACTTAAATAGATAACGTGAACTCTGCCCTGTCTAGAAATCAGATTGTGTAGAATCTTATGATGATTTGCTAGTCTTTATAAAAAATATGGATACTTATTTATACGGGTATTTTCCAGATTGCGGGATAGTAATCAAATAATAATTTCATAAAGGCGATATTTCATCCAGCATATATTCAGGAAAATAGCTCAAAAGAAAAACTGTGGGAGAAATCTGCTCGCTATACTAATTCATATGTGGTACACTAATAGTAAAATCCTTTCATATCTATCCGGATTGGCAAGTGGTGAAACAGTATGCAAGTCAACGACGAAAAAGGGAACTTCCAAGACAACCCCCATATGGCCATGGTCGAAGCAGTTTGCATCAATGGTTCTCCTTAGAGTACATCTTGCGCTTCAGCGCCTCACCTAACAAGTGAAAGTTTTTCAAAGGCGGACTGAACATCATAGACTTGCTAGCCATATTGCCTTATTTCGTGTCCCTCTTCCTCTTAGAGACAAACAAAAACGCCACCGACCAGTTCGGAGACGTCCGGAGAGTGGTGCAGGTGTTCAGAATCATGAGGATCCTTCGTATCTTGAAGCTGGCCCGCCACTCGACAGGTCTTCAGTCCTTAGGGTTCACCCTAAGGAATTCTTACAAAGAACTGGGACTGCTGATGCTCTTTTTAGCCATGGGGGTGTTAATCTTCTCCGGTCTAGCATATTTCGCGGAGAAAGATGAGCCTGGAACGAAGTTCATCAGCATCCTAGAGACCTTTTCGTGGACCGGAATCACGATGACGACTGTCGGATACGAGGACATCTACCCCACCACGCCGCTTGGCGTTTGCTGTATATGCGGTGTGTTGGTGATTGCGCTGCGCATTCCTATCATTGTTAACAATTTTGCCGAGTTCTACAAGAACCAGATAAGGAGGGAGAAGGCGTTGAAGAGGAGAGAGGCTTTGGAAACGGCCAAACGGGAGGGGAGCATCGTGTCATTCCATCATATTAACCTTAGGGACTCCTTCGTCAAAAGTATGGATCTCATTGATGTTATTGTTGATACGGGTGAGTAGCACGCATATTTATAGCAGACCCTCGAGGGCCGATTGAGGTTTGATCAACTCTTGGATTTTTAACGAATAGTAATGAATAGTAGGTAGTAAGTAGAGACTTAACATTTACACTTAGGATTTTAAAAATTTTCAGACTTAGAATCCTGAAAATGCTGAAAAATTTCGGGACTTTTCAAGATTTTCAATATCTTCTAATCTTTCAGAATTTTCAATACTTCCAAAATTCTCAAAATAGTTTTAAAATTTTTAGAGGTGTCAAGAATCTTCATAGTTTCAGTCTTTTAAAATTTAGAAGATTTAAAAATTTTCGAACCTTGCAAAATTCTCAAAATTTTCAAACCTTTCGAAATTTTCATTAATTTCAAAGTTTTAAAAAATACAAAATTTCAATATTATCAGATATTTTCAAAAACTGTTTTCATTAAATTCAAAATTCTGAAAATAGTTTTACAAGTTTTTTGAGGTTTCAAGAATTTGCATAATTTTATTTTTTTAGTTGACTCAAACATTTTGGAATATTCTTCTTCTCTATATATATATAAATACAAACGTCTGTCCAGTCTGTCAGCATCACGTCTGGGTCAGACTTTGTACAGGGTGGTCAACTAAGAATGCGAGGTACTGTATCGTAGAGGATTGATGCAAAAACGAAGAACGCAAAACTATTGACAACTATTGACAATTTGAGTATTATTTATGTTTTGATTACATATCTGTTTTGTTGTACTCCATGGCCTGTATCTAATAATTATCTTCTTCGTATATACCGATAGTGAATATACATTTCAACAAAAAATATGCCTTATGTTATTAGCATTACTTATCTTTCAGCGATATTTTGTAATACTTTCAAAAATGAAGATTTTATTCTGATGAATAAAAAAGAACAAAGAAAAGAATAACATTTTTGTCATACCGGAGCATTTGGAAATAGGCAAGCCAGCATGATGGGAATAAATCTGAGTACCGTATAAAAACTTCGTACGATGCTTACAAGCTTGAAAAAATTTTAATGTTGCGATGAGCGCACAGCTAGTTTGATGCCATCGCCATATACACCGATGACGTGTTTTGTCTTTCGACAAGTACCTCGTTAAAATGCTAATTTTATAAGATGGATTGAAGGAAATAAGAGGATATCGCATAGCTTCGAGGTACGCCTTTCTTCTGGAGAATGTATTGTTGACAGTCACATGAAACCGTACATCATTGTAATGCGGATTCAGAAAATAAGACCTACAGCAGGCTGGGGTAAAGGTGTTGCTCTTCACACAAAACTGCGGTTGAATTGTGCAGCTCCTCAAATGCCGCATCACCTCTTCATCAACGAGTTAAGTTTTGTAATCAATATGTATAAATACAAGAAATCATATTTCAAACCATCTAAACAATAAACAAAGCAAAGGTATATCTGTGAATATAAAAAAGAGACAAATAAATAAGAACTGCTGATCATTTTCGAATAAAAATTATAAGATCTAAAGAAATAAGCCAAAATATATTTTCCGGCAATTTCCCTTAAAATGTTCTGAAATCTTTCTTCAGGCAATGGACTGTGAATGGTGTAACCATACAAGCTAGTCTTTAAATTTCACCAAACATGTTGTTTTTACTGTTAGAGTTTCCTTCTCTATTTTTTATTTATTTACGGAATTTTATTTTAAGTTTTATTTCTAACTTATTTTATTCACAAAAAATATTTTATTTGATTTTTTTCGTTACATTTCAGAAAATACCGTTTTAGTTAATTTATTTTCCCATTTTTCTTAATTTGACTCGATTATATTTCAGTTTATCCATTTGTTGATTTTCCTTATTTCTTTTACGCAACTCTGTTCTTTTGAATTACTTTATTTTGATTATCCTAAAACTTCTTAGCCTCTGCGATCATAATTTACATATTAACACAGTCAACTATGATGTGACTATACACCTCTCTGGTACTTTTAGAAAAGATCAGTCTTCAGTAACTCTTAGCAAGGAATTCAACGGTGATATTGAATTTGACCTTAATCTCACCTTCAAGGTTATTTTACGGTCAACTTTATGTTTTCAAATAGAAATCCGTTTCTTTGATTCCGGCAATCGAAAGATCAGAAAATTTCACACACAATTAAAGTCCAAGGTCAAAGATGACTATTAAAGGTCAAATGAAGCTCAAATGTGTACTGCTGGGAAAACCTCTATAAATCTCACAGGATTAGTGGTGAAAATAATTATCGAGGTCAGATCTGTAGTAAATTTTGATGAGTGATCTTGAATTTGACCGTAAACTTCACCTTCAAGGTCATTCTAAGGTCACTTTTTCCAAACAGAAACCGCAGATACAGATAATTTGTCATGAGCACCGTAATTCCTTCGTTAAACTTACTCAAAGGTCTGCTGCCAGTTATTTTCGTCACTATTTGTGTGAGATTTCTAGACGTTTTCCTAGCAGCGTACAATTGGCCTTTATGTGACCTGTAGTGGTCATCTTGACCTTGAATTCTAACACACATTTGAACATAAAATTTACCGGCTCTCTGGATTGTCAGCATCAAATAGGCGTTTCTATTTGGAACAATAGAGTTGACTTATGTAAAATGACCTTGAAGGTAGGATTCAAGGTTAAATCTAAGACCATCGCTACTAAATTTACTAAAGATTTGATCTTTATTTTCGTACCGATGTCTGCTAGGTTTCTAGAGGTTTTCCTAGCAGCATACATTTGACCTTTAGTTAGCCTATTTGACCTCCAAAATTTTCCGCTTTTTCAAATGTTGGAATCGAAAATAAGGGTTTCAATTAAAAGAATTAAGTTGACCTTGGGTAAGTTTTAACGAGAGAACTACTGTTTCTATTTGGAAAAAATGACATTACCTCACCTCCTTACCACCTTGAAGGTGAGGTTCAAAGTCAAATCCAAGATCACTCGTCAAAATTTACCAAAGAACTGACCTCTACTGTTATTTTCATCACTAATACCAAAAGATTCTTTGTGGTTTTCCTAGCAGCACAGATTTGACCTCCATTTGACCTTTAGTGGTCACCGTGGCCTTGGTCTTCAATTTGAACGTAAAATGGGGATTTTCATTATAAAAATTAAGTGGACTTTGCAATTACCATGAAGATGAAGGTCAAGGTCAATTGTAAGGTCAGCGTTTACTTCCTTGTTAGGATTTACCGAAGACCTAACCCTGATTAGTTATTTTCGTCAATCATCCTGTGAGATTTTTAGAGGTTTCCCTTGCAGCACACATTTGACCTTTCGTAATCATCCTGACCTTGGAATCTAATTTTGTTTTTCTATTTACAGAGCCGTTCCGGGATGTTTGTGTCACGCTCTATATGCATAGTTATACGTTGAACTGGATGTTCGCTTTCCATATCTGTAACCATGACCAACCGCAGACAGTGCTGTTTCGTGCTCTGTAGCAACTTAAAGTGGCGCATATACAGTTCAACCCTGAGTTCGCCATAAGCGAGCGGTCCGGCTTAAGGCACTTTGAACTTACAAAAACATGTTTGTGCATCGAGTTACTAATACAAAATTTAGCTATTCTGAATGAGCGTCTTTCTTATGAACTAACCATCATTCTGCGTTGATAATAGCAACATGTATATATACGAAACATTACAGTTTGCCCGTTGTATGTCAAATATCACCTAAAGTCTTATTCGGGATAGGGACGCCTATATGTAATCAGTTCAAGCCAATTTGGACGCGAACCAAATTATTATGTTCATTATAAATTGTATTCGGATTATCTGGTCGATATACAAAGACGCGAGACTGAGGAGCAAGGCAACGAGAGCTACTTTATTTTGGAAATATTCAAAGCAGAAGACAGTAGCGTACTGATCAAAATTTCAAGGCACATATTTCCATTCCATTTTTTTTCTGTTTCATATTACTCTGGTGACTCATGTGTTAGTATTATAAACACTTTATCTATCCACTTTGTCTACTTACTTTTCTTTCTCCTCTTCTTATTATTATTTTTTGTTAATCTATCGAGCTTATTTATGTTACCTTTTCTCACACACTGAGGTTAAGTGTAAGAGTAGCTCTTTGGCTATACTTTGCCGCACTGATGTGTATGTGTATTAGTAAAGACATTTATCATTAGTATTATTATTATATTTGGTTTTGTACCAATAGCAGCTATTTATTATGCTACTGCTTTCCTCCCTTCTTAATACTTGTCTGTGAAGATATAGAAAAGACCGAATGCTCGTAGAACACTAAACATTATCCATTTTACAATGTAGACGATGCTTATTCGTTTGAGGAATTGTTCAATTGATTTTTTCTTTCATAATCACGTTCTTAACCTGGCGCAAATTTTAAGGTTTTTTAAACAATGTGCAAAAAGTGATTGGGTTATTCTAAACAAAAAGGCAATTTTCTCTAAAGGTGACCGTTTTTGAGTAATATAAAACAGTGGTGGGTGATATTTTAGGGGTCTTCCAGCTTTGACTTCAAAGAGAAACAGTCCGATCATTTCATCGTACCTCAAAAATACTGCAGTATCATACGCTACTAATCTATCTTTTTTAACAAACAACGACGAAAACCAGTATTAGGGCACATACACTTGCTTTTAGTATTGTGGTGTAACTAGTAAGTACTCGGATTGCATTTGTTTTCTTATCAAAATCATTACTATGATGTAACAGGTTGCCCCTTGTTTTGTATTGAAGATTTTTTTGTGTGGGTAATGTTAAAATCATTTCTGTGGAAAATGCCTAGGCCTAGACACTCTGCTTGGCAGCGATGACAACAGCTCAAGCTAAATTAACATTTTTCACAATCATACTCACTTACAATACCAGTCAGCGGTACAAGACCTGGTGCTCCCCTGAATATAGAATTACCGTCAATGCAAACCTATTCAAGTGTAAATACTAGTAAGTGTAGCGTAAGAACCCGATGGGCCGTGTAGCTATACATTGTTTCGGAGTTCTCAGACTGTTTGTTCTCAACATGGTTGTATTGGTACAACTCAGACGCTGGAGCTAGAATTGAAGTATCCAGTGACGGGGGTAAACTGTTGTGCTACCATATCATCGTGTCAGGAGTCCTAATATTTATCGGTTGCGACATACTCATTTATCACAGATTTGTGCTTTTCTTCGTGAGTTCTGCTGCAATTTTTCCCGACAAGACAAATTTTTATTGCTGAACATTATATAGTATAAACATATACGAACCCCTTCCCACTTCAGTTGGCCCACTCAAGATTTGTACCAAAATATGCATTTACAAACTAAACATGACGAAACTACTTACTTCTAAAACAATTTATTTTCTCAAAAATATTTTAGATACACACTAGTCGTAAAAAATACATATTTGAAATCACTTAGGCCTATAACTAATAGAACATCTGAATAAATAAACAATGTGCAAATGAATGCGCGAAGTTAACAAAGCAACAATTGAAAGATTACCTTTGGGTAACATCATTTTTGTTTTCAGGTTCATTATTTTCTTCCATCCATTTTATAGCCTCCTTTGAGGTATGGCACGCTGCACCATCTTGCTGAAACACAAAATCTTGGCCGGATGTCAAACATTCTTCCATCACTGGTAAAAGCGATTTTTCTAAAATTGCCAAATATTCGTTTGTATCCACATTTCCATCAATAAAAGTTTTCCTACTCCTTTTGATGACATACTGCCCCAGACCATAATGGATGCTGGAAATTTCACTCTTCTCTTCAGTCAGTCAACATGGACTGCTTCATTTTTTTTGCGAATAACTCTACTGTGACTGTCACCAACACAAACTTCGAATCGGGCCTCATCACTCCATTGTATTGCACACCATTGTTGAGGTGTCCATTGTCTATGTTCTTTAGCCCATCTAAGCCGATTTTTCTTTTGCAGTGGAGTTAATAGTGGCTTTTCTTTGGCCTATAAACAAGTTGTGCAACTTTAGGGTTTTTACTTCACTTTTTTTTATAAGAAAACTTACCTTGCAAGTGCTAAGTCCCAGTTTGTGGGCCTTTCTACGAGTTGTGGACCTCGAAATTCTCCTTCCAACAGCGTCACTCCACAGAGCACTTAATTGTAAATAACTGGCACGCCTGTTTTTTTTCACATATCGTAGCTTAATATTAACTGAACCAGTTACGTTACATCTTCTAACAATATTTTTTACACTGTACCGCGATAAGTCTAACAAAGTTGCAATTTCTGAGTTTGGTTTCCCAGAATTAAAAAATTTAATTACCAGTAACCGAATGTTTTCACTAATAATCTTTCCTCTACCCATTTTGAAAACCTTAACTACCCAAAACTATTTTAAACGTATTCTGACAGCTGTGATTAATAGAAACAATTGTCATGGCTTTTATTTTTCACAG